AATTTAATTTGTCTAACAAAGCAGCAGCTCTCATTTAGCATCATCTTGTTCGTCTCAGTATATTTCTCCTCAGTAGGGTTGTTTACAGCAAACGCGATTTCCAGTTAGCTTCTTAGCTTAGCCTCCTTCACACCAACAACACACACATGTTTCAGCAGAGGCCATGCCTCCTGCAAGAAACAATTCTCTATGCATCAAGTCCAGACCCTAGTATGAAGCAAAGTGAAGGACAGGGTCTGGTTTTAACCAGGCTACTAATTAACTGACTGAACGGCTGAACTAAATGACTAAAAATTATATTATGTAGGGGTCACCTCGAGTGAGAAAACAAGATTTTCTGCCTCTAAAGCAGGCCTCGGACAGGCCTGGAAAGAAGACAGGAATTCTGTTCCTCTCTAAACTTTATTTAGGCCATGACAGGTCATTCTAACCGTGGAAGAGAACCCTTCTTCCTCTCAATCAGATCATGGACAGATTAATCTCCATTGTTCGTGATTCATTTGTCATTTAACTAAGAATGTTTATGCATTTGTTAAATCAAAGATAATGCCTGTCACATGAAAAAAGTAGAACATCTTTTCTCTCATTGTGCMTTAAAGATTTWTAATGGTATAAAAGAATCACAGACAATCTGATTACAATGTTTCATTGTTTATGCAAATCACTGTTCTTATATTACTGTAAACACAGTAATATAATTGTGGATTTTTCTTGAGAAAATCTTTCATCTAACTAAACTAATGAATGGTTTAGAGTTGATTATGAAACAGAAATGGTACATGTCTGAAGTAATCATCATAAAATGTTTTTCAGTGATTTCATTTGGAGAGTCCTCAGAGGATAAGTTAGTAGGTTATCATCATGTTTGTTTATCCAACCATACAGCAATAAACTTGGCTGGCACCTGGCAGTCTCTTAACTTTTCTTTCTTCTGACTCATCCTTACACCTAGAGGCGGAACCAAAGCCTGTCCCATTCTGTACTAACACTGGACAGCTTTGAGAGACACACTCTGACTTCCTGACTCTACAAGGAAGGGCTGTTTTCCCTCTTAGGAGGATTTCAGCTTGTGAGCTGGAAATCCACTCAAGAGCCAAAGAGTGGGTTTTTACAGCTGGAACTTGACAACGCCAGTCCAATTCCCCTCGCGGTTTTAAACCTCCAAAGCAATTATTGACTTACCCTTCCTTTCATGGAAGTGATTTTATTTTGAAGGAGAAACCAGATCTAGGTCTTTTTCCCTCTCAGGACTGAAGCAGACCAGAAATTCATCGGAGAAACAACACGTATGTTTTACCAATGAAGGTGAGCGGACCTACTGAGTCTTCCTGACCGATCAGAGGTGGACCAGTCTCGCTACTGKAAGGTGTCTAAGAAGTCATCAAAGGTAAAGAGGCTGAGGTGTTTATGGCGACCGGGTCCGGACRAAACTGAGTTGAGAAGGGGTTGCATATCTGGTTGATTCACACTTGGTAAAAGTATAAATACTAACCTTACTTTTTCCTCCTTTTACTTAAACTATTTGCCTTTCCAGAATCTAAGTTTAATGTGCCAGTAAATGTTTGGTTTATTTAACATCAGATCTGACGTTTTACTGTTCTCAAATTTCTCAAATTTCCTTCATGACTAGTCATAATTTCATTGTTGATATCTGAAATGTATGTTTTAGATAGTCAGTGATGTGTTGTAGATATCTTGAATTAAAGCCTCCATACAACTTAATCGTAAATCTGACATATTTTGTACTAGTCCGAATGCCTTTAAACCATCATCACACACTGATGTAACACATATAGATGAAATTTTTTAAAGTCGTGTCACCATTATTGAAATGATTTTTATATTGATATGTACCGATATTAATTTATGAAAGAGCACTAACTGAAAACAATTTAAAAATAAACGCTAATTTTACTCACAATGGAATGCAACAAAAATAGCAAATTCTTAAACTAAGAAAGTGTGCTATATTAAGAATATTATTTCAGTAAATTCAAACTGGATGCCCATGAAGAGCACTGCATTAAAAAAATTTTGATTCTGTTATGAACTTCACTGCTATTTTTTGAAATAGCAGATTTTTTACTTGGTTATAATTTGGGAAACATTATGGTGAGCCATTCAGCTGTAAGAGTAAGGTAAGTCGAGGCTCTGCTTTGGACTGTGTGTACTG